TATTACATTGCTCCTTTGTGCGATTAGTCATGTTTCTGCGTGATTTGTCCACCATTAATCAATAAAATATGATATTGATACAATAAAAGTTGATTGAAATGTATTGTTACTACCATGTAGCAAAAATAATTTAAATTATGATTAACTTTTTATTCTTCAGAAGAAAACAACTGCACACACCAGAATTACCTTTGATATAATGTCATAAAATAACTTGTGTCTAGTCCTATGGTGTTTTACAATTCATATTAAGATAAACCAATATTTATATAATTTTAATTAATGTATTGACATTGTTGGTTTGCTATCACGTGCTGTTTAAACATTAAAAATAAATGGCACTGAGGAAAATTAAAATATTTATTATGCTCTACAATTAATCGAAAAATTAGTACCCATACTTACTATTAAAGTAGGTCACATTTCATATGTTGATATGATACTTATCTGTTTACACTTTATTTTATTATATTAAACACATTTTGGTGATACATTTAATTTACCATCCGATTACTACAATAAATGGTTTTCAACAAAATATCCCTTAGTATTTTATATGTTGTTGCCTGTTCACCTGTAATCGTTATTTAAACAACTGGCACACTATTATTTAAGTAGTAACCTGTCTATAACACTCCAAACAGTTAAATAGTAAGAACATGTAAAATTTGCGCTAAAAGCAAACAAAAAAAAAAAAAAAAAAAAAAAAAAAAATGAAAAAAAATATCATTTGCGCCACATCTAAAAATTTATTTTAATGATTTGCACCACTTTTTAAGTTTGTAATTTGCGCCTAATAAAATTAAATAAAAAGGATTTATGTAATATGTACATCGTGTACCTACCTAATTAAATTGTAATTAGCGTTACAATTATTATAATTATAATTAAAACAAAACTCCATGTATATTTTATAAGTAAATTATTGTTTTGTATATACTATTTTTGTAATATAACATATAATTTTTGAAATTAAATACCTAGCTTACTCACCTTTTTTTTCTGATTAAAGCTTAATGACGAAACTATGCCTTTTCTGTCAATTCTATTTTATCTGTAGTCTTCATATATTTGTTTAAAAGTTTTCAACAGGTTTGTTCTTATAGAAGATTTTGTTTTTTAAGATGATCACTTATAATTGTAATCAAAGTTTATGTTTGAAAACTTTTCAGTACGTCCAAAAAGTGGTAAATAAAAGTATGTGGGTGATAGAACTTGGAATTGAAACGTGCATTTTATGATTCGCAAGCTTAGTAGTATGATTTGGTATGTTCTGAAACCTGATCCTGATCCCCTGTACTTTTCGTTACCCTCTCGCCCTCAATGACCGGTGTGACATATATTTACCCCGCACTTGCCTGATACCCTTCACCCCTCGCCATTGACCGGTGTGACGTACATTTACCCTTCACCCCCTTCCACTTATGATCGGTGTGACGTAAACTTACCCCGCCATCTGTCTACCCCCCCCCCCCCCCTACTCTTATTATTGTACGTGCGCCATATTATTGTACATGTGCCATATTATTGTACATGTGCCATATTAACGCAGATGAGTTCTGAATGCACACCCCTACCTACCCCATAACCCCACGACTACCTACCGTCTAATTGTGTAACGTATTCCCACCACCTGTTCCAACACCGAGTTATCAATTACGCTTATCATATTAACACATATGAACCATATTATTATTGTACATGCCCCATATTATTGTACACACGCCATATTAACACTTATGAATTATATATTAACATATTATATGAACCATATTATTATTGTACATGCGCCATACTATTGTACACGCATCATTTTAACACAGATGAGTTATATATTAACATATATGAGCCATATTATTATTGCACATGCATCATATTATTGTACTCGCTATATATTAACGTATATGAATCATATTATTATTATACATGCGCCATATTATTGTACTCGCTATATATTAACACATAATATGAATCATATATTCGAGCAGCCAGTTACATTATATTATAATCAACAACGTGCAAATTATATCAAAGTATCGACATGCATCGGCATGCATCAACATGTCTATATGGTCTATTGTTATTTAACACTATTATCGTTCCTCCTACCCCTAATATTGATCCAATTCGACAGGCACTTGAATCTGCGAGAGCCAACATTCATTTAGTCTGTCTCCAGTCTTACACACATATAATACTCCTCCGCGTTTTTCCGAGTGTTTATAATTTTTTCATCGTTTATTATTTTAATAACAAGTGATTTAATATGGCCGGTTCAATCGAAGACAACGCAGCGTTATATATGAAGAAGAAGACTTTTACTTATGTACCGCCATCACCTCCAGCCGAACTCATCGAATCCACCAGCTATACACTAGACTTCGCAGCCCGTAAGTTTATACATATTGGTATTGACCCGAGTGAAAAATTCAAAGTCGTTATTCATGTATTGTCTTCTTCGCGGCACGTACTTATTACACCAGACTTTATGAAAAAAATATTCTCGTATATGGGACATATCTTATCGTTCATATTAGACACACCACAAAAGTATAAGCGAGTATTGTTTTATGAAGATTATGAAATAAAACTATCAAGTATGGTGTATACTGGAGAAAATATGTTGGTAATCGAAGCGAAAAACCGCGATGGATGTAGAGTACTACTGAATCGGACAGACCTTTTACGTCTTCAGTATCTTGAATGTTCAATTTTCGAGAGCTATGTGCGAAAAGTAGTATTCACCGCTCCGTTAGTTATAAAACAATATGAAGAGATTTGTGTGTACCTAGACAAGAAATGTACTCATATAAAAAATATGGACGAGATGATAGTTTTCATTAAGAACATACAAGACGATCTAGTCGTTAAATTTATTCCAAATTTCACCAATCAAATACAGATGTACGCAGCTGAACAATTAGCTGAAACTTTGTTAAATCAGAGGGCGAACAACTCGCATGAGGTAATTAAAAAATATATTATTCCTTAAACAAAAATAATAAATATATTTTTTATTATTTTAGATGTTTAAAGAAACGACGACTATTTCACCATTACCATCACCTACTCCAATGTCCCCTCCATCATCACCGTCATCATCTCCGTCATCACGTTTTTCATTATCATGGTGCAGAGCAGCCGATGAAAATGACGGGCCGACATATTTCAATAAGCGTTCATTAGTGGCATCAGAATTTTCCGATTCAGCTGTATCGCAAACGCCTTTTACATCAAAACGTAAACTCTTTTAATAATAAGTATACATACTGTGTAAAAATAATTTTTATATTTGTAGAATAAAATAATTTGTTTGAAATAAAAAAACATGATATATTTAAAAAAAACTGTTTTCATTTATTAATATTAAGATTCATAATAAATATTTACAAGGTTCTTACTTCTCCATTAAATGGATTATAAGTTATAATTTGGTCATGTAATATTAAACAATATGCTGAAGTGGAAGCTGGAAACGCATCGGTGGCTTCAAATTCAATCCTAAGATCGACAGTAGATGTCTTAACGTTGTCGTCCTGTCTGCTCATATCAACAACTATAATTGGAAAAAAATTTTTAAAATCTGAACGTTTCAATAGAGGTGTTACATCATCGCGTCCATAGTATGATTTTTGGAACTCTGCATACGCATGGTATAATGTACCAATTTTATTTTTGGTAAAGTCGCATTGAAAATCTTCATAGGGAAACACTTCACTGTTTAAATATACCTTCAAGTTTTTAATCTTACAATGATCAAAGTTCGACATTGCTTAAGTCGTGCTATTTTTCCTGTCGGTCTGAAATCCGATTATGACATATCTAGGTTTTTCTAATTTATTGGACGTCTTTACTTTCCACGAGTGTGTTGTGTTTTGAGGTAGAAACGGATATTCGCACAACTCCTCCCATGATCTAAACGCGCATGTTAACGGTTTTTGATTGTTTACTACTTTCAACAATCTAATTTTTTCTTTATCACCGACTTTTACTATAGGCATCCGCCATAATATTTTTGTTATATTTATTTTAACGTCTTTTAGTTTAGGTGCGTCTGCAACAACTTCATTATTTTTATACTGCTTAATAGCATTTATATCCAGTGAAGCTCTATTTAATATAAGTTGTTGGTTACAGTTTATTAAAATACGTTTATAATCTTCACAAATACCGAACAAATCTTTAAGATTAATACAACCGTTAAACATATTACCATCAATAAAATCTTTATTATCATTGTTAGTGTCACTAACCCAAGCAGCGTTATGGCGTGATGTGATATTTGATTTATTGTAAGAGCAATAGCCTTTTAATGTGGTTGATATGCCTGGATTAACGAGTTTTTGAATTTGAATACCATTTATCTCATATTTCATTTCGGAGAAAAGAAATGCTAGATTGTTGTTTATAAATCGAATGTCGTCGGTTATTTCTGCAGGTTTGGTTATTGCTCCCTCGATGTATATATAACTTTCACACGGTAGAGTATAAGACTCTGCGTTATGCAAAGCAATACGTACTTCATCGTTATTGGAGAGGGCGGACGTAGAATAAGGTAAAAACGAATGATAATCAATCTGTGTTATCTTACAATCATCGACGTACCCGGCCGTTATATCTAATACTTATCGTCCATATTAAATAGCGTTTAACGAACGCAGAAAAGCTAAATTCTCCACTGTTAAACTTTTTTTAGATTTATCAAAGTTCGGAGTTGTTGTCTTGCTAATGATTTTCGTACGACTAATGGGTTTTACACGTGTAGTCTTATTTATATTATAAAATTGCAGACCCATATCACGAGTCTTGAATAATAATCGTACTAATATCGATTCACCTCGTAGATCGATCAACTCCTTGTTCTGATTTTTTAAAATTATACTCGCATACGTTATAGATGTAGAATTGATAGGATAAAATACCAAATGTGTTGGTACTTCTATTATTTTATAGCCTGCAGATACGTTTGGGTAAAACTCTTGTATTGTATGACACGACTTTCCGTTATTGAATGAACCCGCAGCTAGGTTTGAATCGATATATATATACAGTTTGTTTTGGTAATATTTACCAACGTATCCGATTGGTGTTTAATATTGGCTTCATAAATTTGATTTTTGAAACCCAATAACTCGCCTATACTATTCGGTATGGATAAATCTATTGATGCGTTAGATATCATTTCACATTTTAATGTGTTATTATTGGCCTTCAACTCAAAAGTTACATGACTTTGCAATACATGTTTTATTACTGTTTCGATTTCATTTAATTCATAAGAACCTGTAGGTATTGTATAAACGTCGCTGATCAGTTCATTTAATTTGTTATAGTATGTGAAACCTATTTTATTACATTTTTCGTTTATATTAGGAATAGAATTATTTGTCTGTAAACCTAGCAAGCAGATCTTAGCATTTTTACTGACTTCTATCGGTGGGAAAAAGTTACAAGACAATTCACTAGAGTTTCCGGTTAAGGTTATGGTGTACATGACAAAAATTTTAAACACAAGTGCCCGCAGTTTGTCGTATTGTATTTTTGATGTTTGTCGTAATTATATTCGATATTACAACCGTCGAAATATTTTTGTATTTCTAACGGTGGTGGTAAATTTCCAAAACTATCATAATATTTAACTTGTTTTCCGATTTTCTTATACGCTACCAAATGAGTTCCTGCACCGATTTCGACGTCCAAGTTAATAACAGCCGACTCTTGATTTTTCGAACGTTGAGGTAACTTGTCTCTAGCAAATACACCAATGAAATGAGGTATTTTCAATATGTCAGCGTATTTTATAATCTCATAATCGTACAGCGCTCTATCGGGTAACGTGGAAATTAGTTTTTTGTCATTTTTCTAGTTTTCTTTACTGATCCAGCATCTTTGTATGGTCCCAGGTATAAACCTTTTCCTTTAACAATTTTATATGATCCACCTTTGTGTGGTGCAAGATATAATCCTTTTCCTAAATGAACAGGTGTGTTTTTACCGGAATTTAATTCATTTACGACTTTTACTATATTACCAACGCCACCGGTAAGTGCGCCTAATGCCGACAAACCAGCGAAAATAGGTATTAAAGGTAGAACACCACCCTTTTTCGGTATGGTTATAACTCTTGGAGTTTTAGTTTTCTTATTTTTAGTTTTTTTTGCAGCTGTCAGACATGTTTTTATTATCTTGCTTATATTCTTATCGTTCATTTTATTTTTGATCGATTTTTTAGCTGCTAAAACCATATGTTTAAAACCGCATCCGGCGCCCATCTTGCGTTTAGCCTTCATAGCTGTAGTGACCAATCAAGACGCTGCTTTTTCCTTGATACCAGTGTTTTTAGATTTAAACACTTCCCAAGCTTGATTTTCCAATATTTCGTCAGCTCTACGTCTATCTGTATGTAAATTACTTTTTTCGTATGCTATATCGTGAGCTCTAGCCAACTCGTCAAGACTGTTTATACCTCGTTCACCGCGTGCTAATCTTTCTTTTAATTTAGTACCAGGACCAGCAAATCTAAAACATATAAAAACATTTTTTTTTTTTTTTTAGTTACGATTTAATAATTTATGATAATATAGTGTCTTACCTGTAACTAGGCAAATGTAATTCCACCGGTAAATGATTTATAACAGAGTTGATAAGACCGGAACCCTTATTGTTGTTTCGCTTACGAACGCGAGACATCGTGTGATGCTTACAAATATACATCATCAGTATTTATAGTGAAAAATGTGGTTTATCGAGCAAGTGAAAAAACTTCAAATTTATAACATTGATACTCCGAATACAATACAGTTAAGACATGGAGAGCTATTTCCAAACATTATACGTTCATTAGTGTTGGGTAGTTCTGGTTGTGGTAAATCGAATTTGATATATTTTCTACTCGTTGACGAAAACGGTTTACGATTTGAAAACGTTTACATATACTCTAAAACGTTAGAACAACCAAAATATAAATTATTAAAACGTATAATCGACGATATTGATGGTGTTAACATTTTTACATTTTACGAAAATGACAAAGTCATTTCACCTGAAAAAGTCTTACCAAACTCTATATTCATCATGGACGATGTTATTGGAGAACAACAAAATGTAATAAGAGAATTTTTTTCCCGAGGACGTCATAATAAAATAGATATATTTTATCTGGCTCAGAGTTATTCAAAAGTTCCAAAGCAGTTGATCCGAGACAATGCAAATTTAATAATATTATTTAAACAAGATGAGACCAATTTAAAACACGTATACAGTGAACACTGTTCAAGCGATATGACATAAATACAATTTAAACATTTCTGCGATGCGTGTTAGAACCGTGATAGATTTGCATTCGTAGTTATTTGTAAAGACAGTGAGCGTGATAACGGACGTTATCGATTTGGATTTGATACATATGTAGTTATATAAGTCAAAGTATAAAATAAAATTACTCTTTAAAACACAGTCATGAAGGATGAAGGTAGTATTTTAGGTGAGTTAGTCATGGCTAAAGAAAATATTAAACGTAAATATATCGCATTAAAAACTGGTGAAGCAAATGTTCAACAGTTAATGACACAAACATTAAAACCAATTATTGATCCATTAACTAAAATATCGAATACACCTCGTACGTTATCGAACAAAAATAACGACATCGAATCGAATCTTAATGAAAACTATCAACAAGAAATTGAAAACTGGTTTAACTCTGTAGATTTAGATAAAACCTATGGTCCAAAAAAAAATTCAGATGGAGAAATTATCTTAGCTGAAAAGAAAGTGAAATTTATTGAAAACTCTATTCTTATTGATGGTACTACTTATCTATCAACCTCGGGTCTCATACAGTTATTATTTTTAAAAAATCCTCTTATTTATTCCGATAACGATCTATAAGTATATAAAACTATATTAATTCAGACATCAGCACACTTGACTTTGAATAGAAAAAAAATTAAAAAAAGTGGTTTTAAATATAGGGATATA